CCCCAAAACCCCAAAACCCCAAAACCCCTAGATTCTTAATAAGTTATAATTCTTAAATATCAATAATACAACTGGCAAAATATATTTGAAAAATAGTTTTAAATATTGAAGTTCACTTTCTTAATTAAATTTTATATTAAAGCTAAAAAGGAAATTTATTTATAGTTAAAATAAAATGAATTTCAAATAGAAGTCAATAATAGCATTAGAATCATAGGTTATCTATGATATTTTGTAGTTTCTACCTCAATAGCAAATGATAAAGCTTTAACAGCTTTGCAAATAGTATTACTGCAAAACTATACCTTTTGCAAGGCCTTATTATGGTTTCCGACAAGATCTAACTCCAGATCAACTATTTGCCCGGCGAAATATCATAAGAATATCTTTTTCGTAGTAATCAAGTATTTATCATAAAAGCCTAACTCGACTACCTGACATTCAGTTTACAAAAGTAGCAGGAGATATGTAATATATTTCGGAAGAACAAGAAATAAAATTAAAAAACTCTAACCTATTTTAGAGCTATTATGGGAAATAGGTTTTTATTACCTAAAATCATAGAATATTTGTCATGTCTTCTAATCAAGCAGCTTTTATGAGGGGCAATGATCAGTGTCCACTCATTTTTGAAATTAAGGGTAATGAAATAGTTCAGCATCTATTTGATGATTAGTCAATAGATCATCGATATAACTCATCATATGCAATAGCAAAAGACTAATTATTGATTAGAGTAGGTGGATTTAGTGTTATGAGGCATATGAGAATGCCAACATAAAAAGAAATTGGGCCAATGGGCCATCGAGATTAGGATATACATTATGACTCAACAGTAGATAGCTATAATATTAATAAGAAAGGATTTAAAAATGGTCCGTATTTTGGGTAAATCAATAAATGTAGATAAGACTGCTCAATATCCATTTAGGGAAAACACTTATATATTTATGGAGGCTTTAAGTATAGTAGCAAAAGTAAAAAATTACTTTCTGTAAAGTCAATCGAGAGCTAAGATATAAACAATCCACAGAAGTTATTTAAACTTATCGAAATAAAAAGAATTTCACAGTTGGATAAAATCCAATCATTGATTCCACTAGACTCTAGTTAAATTTTGATCTTTGGGTAAACAACCCAGGAAGTAAGGTCAAAAGGGAAAATAGTTTCGTTAAAGGCAGAATTCTAATGCTTCACTGTTAAAATAAATGATTAAGAAGAGGAGAAAAAGGATGATTAAGAATTTAAAGTTATCAGAGAAATTCCATGGTCGACTGCTAGTTTATTTTAGAAGAAGTATAATATTGATGAAATGCAAGCTTATTCTAACTTTTAAGATATTAGAATTATTGATAAAGATGTATATCTTTCGAATTCTTATGGATTATGCAAAGTCTCTTTAGATTAATAGTTACTAACATTTATTGCTTGTCCTAAAATTTGCAAAGAGATATAGACTAGTCAATTGGAGCCTGAATTTGGTTCTTCCAAGAGGGGTTCAGAATACCCATTTTTAGCAGTGAAGTAGACAGTTAGTGGAGCTAAGAAAGGAAAAAAGAAATAAAAATGATTAGAGATTTAAAATATTTTTTATTTACCGTTATAAAATTAGTTATAGTTTTATTATTTTGCTGAATGGGGTTTTGGGGTTTTGGGGTTTTGGGG